TTAGTACGCGGGCGGGAAATGAGGAAACGCCTGCCCAAATGACTATGACAAATTTGTTTTCGCCCATTAAGGATGATTGACGTTTTGTAATTAGCACCTCACCCATTATCCAATCCTAGTCGAGATTTATATTTAGCATCATGCATGCTTTTTCCTCGCAACTAGGGAGATTTGCAGAGATTTTATGTACTATTTAAAACATGAGCAGCAGTGTTTTATCAGATACAAAGATGGTCTGATAAAACACGCACTGCGAATGTTTTAAATTGCTTCAAAAACGATCGATCTAGTATATAAAGTTCATTGGCGAAATAGCTTTCAAAAAATTCGTTGTGTATGTAGAGAAAATCAAAGTTAAGGTGTATGTAAATCAAATTATGTTCCTCATGAATTATTAATATTGAGTTTATGAAGCTATTTTAGACAACAGTGACAACACAGAGCGACATTTGTCGCCTGAAGATGGACATTTAAAATGTCCGAAACGTTGCAAATTAAATTAAATTAACTTTTTGTATAAATCCTTGAGAAATAAACTGATAAGTAATAAGTAATAAAACGTGTTAAAACGTGTTCCAAACGTGTGCCCTGTCAAACATGAAATTTTTTTCAAGCTGTTTGTACGCGGCTGTGGGAAGCAAAGAGTTCTTTCAACATCTCGAAGTTTATAATTTATCATTTCACTTTTGAAAGTAAATAAATCAGTAAGTGATTTGGGACCCATTTTATTCAACAATTTAAACATCAGTTTGGACTTAGCCTTTATTCTTTCCGTTTTAAGTGGCGTCCAGTCTAAAGCATCTAAAGCAGCCAGATGATCTACGTCATTGCTCATATTCATTATGATTCGAGCACCTCTGTTTTGAAGCTTTTGGAGGCGTTTTGATTGTGTTTCACCAAGCACATCCCGTACTTCACAGCAATATGTATAGTATGGGCAAACAATAGAATTATACACAGAGACAAGTGTATCTTTCTCAACAAATTCTTTTTTTTGACGAAAAGCTGATATCCCGGATGTTATTTTCTTGCAAACGTTTTCAGTATTATTCTTCCAAGACAAATGCTGGTCAACAGTCACTCCAAGAGTTTTGCAATCATATACTTGTTTAATTGGTTTGTTTTCTATGATAATTTTTGGTTGTTTATTTGAGATACTTTTTATCATTGGTTTAGATCCAATTAATATAAATTCAGTTTTGGCCACATTTAAACTTAGTTTATTGGCAATTAACCATTTCCTAAGGTATTCTGAATCAGAATTCATTGCAGCTTTAACATCATTTATAGATTCTCCCGCAGCTGTTAGGTTTGTATTATCAGCAAACAGTCGAGGTTTTGTTTTGCTTAGACACTGAGGCAAGTCATTAATATATAATAAAAAGAATAATGGCCCTAAAATAGAGCCTTGTGGCACACCACACTTAATCAATCGCTCCGATGAAATAGTTCCATTAACTTGGCATTTAATTTCTGAGTGCGATTTATCAAGTACGATTTTAGTAGAGCCAAAGCACTCCTTTTACGCCATAAATTTCGTGCTTTTGTAGCAAAATCTGGTGGTCGACAGTATCAAATGCCTTTTTTAAGTCAATTAATTTGATTTAATTTAATTTAATTTATTAACTTTGCCAGATTCAAACAATTAACGTTAACACAAAAACTGGCAGGGCAATCGCAACTGCTTGCGCCAATTACTGCGATCCCTAAATGTTAGACAAATACACTATATACGTACATAGAAAAAATAAATTACTAACGAACTATCATATTCCAGGCAAATTTTTTTGGCCATTTTTATAAAGTGGTGATACTATTGCCATTTTCCATTCATCGGGAAAGGTGCATAGTGTAATAGCCTGATTAAAAATATAAGTTAATGAACTGGAGATAGCAGGTGCTGCTAGTTTTAAAATTTTACTTGAAATTTTGTCAATGCCAGTGGTTTTTGCACTAGAGTGGCCACGTAGGAGATAATAAACTTTGTTGGTGGTAATTGACTCAAATGCAGTGAATTCTGATGTAGGTTTCTTAATTAATATACTTTTGAAAATTGTAATTCGAAGTAGCAATTTTGCCAACCTCGTTCCCAGTCTCTTTCTTCGGGGAAGGTCTTTCCTTCCCCGAAGAAAGAGCCTGGGAACGAGGTTACAATTTTGCTAGCTAAGTCAGGTCCAATATTTGAAAAGAATTCGTTAAAGCCCTCTGCAATGTCTTCTGAATTTGTTAAATTATTTCCACTCATACTTAACTCATTTACTTTTGTTGGTTTGTTTTGTCTGCCTAGTAAGTTTTTCATTGTTTTCCAAGCCTCCTTTGGATTTTGTTTTTGAAATATGGATTTTTCTGGTGGTAAATACCAAACTATGATCACTGATTCCTGTATGAATGATACCAGAATCTGCGATTTTCTTTCGTGTATTAGTAACTATATAATCAACGAGGCTGGAGGTTGTCATGGTTACCCAAGTAGCTTCCTTAATTAATTGTGACAATTGATATAGTTCATACAGTGATTTCATTTTCTTGGTTGGTGTATCGGATTCTGTTTTAAGCATGTCACAATTTAAATCACCAAGAATATACATTTCTTTATTTTATTTTTTATTTGTCACTATAATAGTATATGTTACTATAGCTGTATAACATCATGACGTAATTATTTCGATCTTTCTTATTTATCGCTCAGCTATATTCTATGGATGACAAGATGTTGAAACAATGTATCCGAATTTCGATGTTAAAACTTTTTTATATAATCGATGTCATCTCTAGTTTAATACAAGTTGAAAAGTTGAAAATACCACCTTTCGATTCAGTATATAAAAATCTATGGAAAAAAGAAGAAATTTTTGGCTTACTATAGCTAGTTCCTCGGGCAATCTCGTACCCAGAGCAATGCCTGTGCGCGGGCTAGGATGGCATTGGCTCTGGGGAAATTGACAACCGGAACCCCTAAATTTAGGGGTTCCGGTTCTTTGTCGGCATGGACGATTGATAAACGTTAAACCAATCACAGCACAAGAAAAATTCAATTTCCCCAGAGCCAATGCCATCCTAGCCAGCGCACAGGCATTGCTCTGGGTACGAGATTGGTTCCTCGGGTAGAGGAGAACTGATCACGTGATCGGCTAGTTGTGTTGTTTGTGGCGTCAGATATAACCCAATCCCTATCTCTAAGCCTAATCCTTAATCTAACCCTAACCCTAACCCTAACCTCAACACTAATCACTATAACTAACTGATGACGTAATCTGTGATGCAAATTCTTCTACCCGAGGAAGTACCCAGCGTTTTCCTATTGTATAAGGCTTGAGTGAAACTTAGATTTGTCAGAGCTCGAGTGAGAAGTGAGAACATAATAATAATCTTATGTAGTAGTCTTGTATTCAAATAAACAAATGTATTCTCAACACGTGTTCAAATAAAAGTAAAAAATGAATACCTAATTATTCCACAAACAACTCCCGAGCTACCAGCGTCAATCTGTTGCAATTCACCACCCAGTCGTCGCTATGCTGTTCCATATGGTGTGTCTGGTGCCACACCTCGCCTGACGTAAATACTATTAACTCGGTTGACTCCCCAAACGCCAGATTCTCCAACCGCAACATGTGTTAACCCGCCGTCCATTCGTATCCAAGTGCCATTTTGCAATGCAAAAATTTTCAGTCTATTGCCGTTGATTCCCGTGGCCCATGTTTGCCCACCGCCACTGTCAATTTGGGTGATCGTAATCTCGTTGACAGCCTTCCATTTGTGGGAGAATTCTCGCGTTATGTTATCTGTGTAGACATAAAATCATGAAAATAAATTAAAACAAAGACCGACTTTATTTCCATTGGATAGCTGTATTATTTCTAA